GTCGTGGACCCCCTGTTAAGGAACTCTGGTTTAAAGTAAATTTTTTGTACAAAATTAAAGAGATAAACATAAATCCTGTGTTTTGCTCATGTGTATTGACTATAGGTATGCTGATCTGATGGGGTATGCTCATCTGACAGAACACAGGCGGTGCGCTGTCACTGGGAATCCCCAGCAGCAGCTGCCTCTTTGCGGTTTACCGCTACTGTCTCTGTCTGAATGTTCAGGCTTGTATAACCGTGTCTTTGGACCCATGATGACCTTTCAGGGTTTCTGGAGATTTCAATGAACCTCTTGCTGTCTGTTTTTAGGGGTAACTAAAAACAGTCAGACCTGGACATGTTTTCAATACCTTTTAATCTCTCCCATTTGTAGACAGTTTTCTATACAACATGGATCCTTCTATATGTTGGCCAAGGGGTGCAAACGCAGTAAATATGACATTTCACAGAAAACTCAAACAGAAAAGCAAATTAAAAAACAAGCCTAGCAAACACAAAATATATACTAAGATTTTCGGATATGCAACTACAGAAAACACAGGAATAGAAAAAAGCAGAAAGTAGCAAAACTGTATGTTAAGAAAACTGCAAACTAACGCCGCAAGAGGAAAGAGCTCCAGACCACTAGGGGGAAACGATCATCAACTCATACGGTATTATTGACGAGCAAATTTCCGTTTAAGTGTTTTCTAAACACTATAACTCTGAATGTCCGCCAGTATCACTATATAGGGCATTATATAGTGATTACACCATTTTAAATGAGTGTCAGAAAGTGTAACGGATGAAAAAGGAGTGGACTCAAAATTTCCCATAATGCACTTTGAAAAGGAGTGAACATTGTCACTAGCCGATCCGTCCCGGTGTAGGTACCAGATCTGCTAGGGTGGTCAGATCTGCCCGGGGCCCCGCCCCTTCTTATGACCTCATTATATGGCAACTCCACTCGGACAAACTGTATTGCACCCGTTTTTTTTAAGGATCAAATCCCTTATGGAGTCTCAACACATTATTTTCTATATTTGCTATTATTTTACATTTCATCGGTGATCTAAAGTAGCAGAAAGTAGAAAACAATTAATGTCAGTCTTGAAGGAAAGTACTGCCTTCTAAGACAGACTGAGCTCTGCCATTTAACAAGGTGACAAAAAAAGTCTTAAAAATTTTAAGTATTTTTATTCTTCTGTTGAGATCTGAGGGCCGAGGAGGACAAATGGAACATCTTTAAAAATGACTTTCCTAGATATTTTACACAAAGAAAACAGTTATTCTACTCATAGGAAACGAACGGTTGTTTTTGATACAAATTCAAAAGTAGTGTAGCTTAATATGGCTAACTGACCAAGCTAAAAGAGGCTAACCTGTTAGCTACTGAGCACAGCTAGCCACAGCGCTACACAGCTCTACCCCTTTATTTTATGGTCTAACAGTTACTTTGTTCACCAGAACAGGTTTGTTATCGATCAGGGAAAACTTCATCGGTCATTAGACACGCTAACGGACGCTGCGTGATGTTATGATCGTTGTCTGGGCAACCACTATGTTTTACATCACGTGGTGACATTCAGCCAATCATGTAGCGTAATGTCATCTTGTAGCGCTCATTAGAGCATCAGATATACCTCCAGGTATCACCCTCAACTTTACTTTGTTAAAAATATATAAATTACCTTTTCCCTCCCCAAAAATAGTAAGGGTACTAAAATATAATGTGTTAAAGGTGAATAATGTATTTCCTGAGAAAATAAATGCCTTAAAATCCTTTCTGTTTTATCACTCTGTTCCCGACCTGCACCAGAAATTGGTTCCTACGCTACTTCCAGGAGCTAACTTTTTCGGCTTTGGATTTAAACATAAATCTTTTTGAGTCTTATTTTCTCCTTGGTGTTAACATTATGGTATATAGTGCATAATCTAAAGAAAGAAAAAACACGGTTCAATCATATTTTGCCAGACCGCTCTGAGCATGTCCCTTGATGATGTCAGAGCTCTTTAAAGGAGAAAATGTAAAAAGCATCAAAATTATCTCACAAAGTCAGTTAAGGATAGAAATAAGTAATTTTAGTACCATAATTATATAATTTATGGACACCAGGATGTATATCTATTTGCACATGCTTATATTCCATTTGTCCATAAGGGTCCACAGATTAAAAGTAATCCAGCATATTCATAATAAAAAAATATACCATGATAAGAAAATTGCCACATAAAGTCAGTTTGTTACCATCAGAAAAGTTTGATCCTTATAGCTAATGGAAGCATCTTTGCTAATTACCCTAGCTGTCACAAACATTTCATGTTGATATTTGGCATATTTGTTTTCCTCATCTTCCATTGGACAAAATAAAAGTATCCCGTCAATTTAATTAGAGTTTTGACGCCGGGACAGCCCTCGAATCTTCACAAGCGCTCCCTCTCAGCTGTCTTCTTTACATATGATTCGCTGCTATAGGCTTAGACTGCTGGAGGACATAGGGACCCCTTTTTCATCATTCTGCTTCATTCTATCTCTATTCTCCCACTCTGCAGAATCTATTAGTTCAATCTCTAACGTTCTGCTCTCTCTGCTTTTTCTCATAGTAGCTTCATCTGGTCTGTTCCTGTTTGGCTGTGACTCCATCCTGGAGAGAAATATCAGCTGTGCTGCTGCCATCAACACCTTTGTTTCTAGATGTTGAAGATCGGCCTGTTTTCCAGTGTAGTCCTGTTTCTCTGACTGTGACTAACTGGATGTGCTCTCTTCATCCTCTGACATGGGAGCTGGCTCGGAGCTCGTCTGCCTGGCTGTGTGTTTCCTGGACGGGGCCGCCTGTGGAGCTGGTTGACAGTTGCCTTTTGTATCTATGCTTCTTTTTCTATGTCTGCTTCTGTCTCCTTGAACCCCAGTGGGCCTCAGCAGATGGCCGCTCACACTGAGCCTGGTTCTGCTGGAGGTTTCTTCCTGTTCAAAGGGAGTTTTTCCTCTCCACTGTCGCTACAAGCATGTTTAGTGTGAGGGATTGCTGAAGAGTCAATGAGTCGATGCAATCAGCTGGTTTTCCTTAGATAGAAAACTTTGAATCAATCTGACTGGATGATCTGGTGAACTGGAAAGTGACCTGAGATGACATGATGTGAATTGGAGCTATAGAAAAAAAACAGAATAGAATTGAATTGAACTGATGAAGACAGCGGCGGCGGAGGCGGCAGTGGCAGCGATTTCCACTAGTTAAAAAGTTCCTGCGGACATGTTTGATTCCTTTGATTTGACTTTAGTGTCTCTGTGCATCACACCAACCACATTCCCATATTTATGTCGGCCGAGGTGAACATAAACACCCACACGCTCGTTAGCTAAGCACGCTTCTTCATTTACATTATCTACAGAGCTCTGACCCATTTACATCTGTTGTGTATACATGGTAGCACTAATGGCAATGTTTTGGGATCAGAACCGGAGAAGACAAGAGGTTCACCTGCAAAGGTCACACAGAGCTTTTGTTCCTGTTCTTCAGAGAAGCTCCTGACTATTTTTAACAAGAACGTCTCCTTTACTTTTTGTTTGTTGAGCCTCTTATCTCTGATCTATGGGTCATTCAGGCATGGAAGGAGTCCTAAACTGAAGGGATGAGGCAGAGTTGTGTCAACACACAACAGAAAGGTTAGCGAAGCAACAATTTGGGGGTTTTGTTACCAGCAGACTGACAAAAAAGAAACACTCCTTTTATTTCTCTAACTGAAAACCTAAAAAAAAGAAAAATCTTGATTTCTGCTACTTAATCTCCCTTTTGTTTTGATGATTAGATGAAACACTCTAAGAATAAAGCAGAAGTCCAAACAAAACTATCAGATATTACTGACTGTTCTGGATTACAAGAAGTAAAAGATGTAGAAACTTTAAAGGTCGTTGGGTCATAAAACCTCATAGAGAGGCGGCGGTTTAAAGGGAACCGTGAAGGACGGCTCTAACGTCTTCAGACATTGGAAACTTCGCAGAACTGCAGCTCAAGAGAAAAACCTAAGTGAGCCTCGGGGGTTTTAAACTTAACCCGCCTCCTGCATCGTTCAGGATTAGAAAACGACAGCAGCGAAGGAGCAGATTCGGGGCTAAAAAGTCCAACAAATAAAATAATAAACAAATCAAATCGATTGATTAACACTGAGCTTTAGGTAGACAATATTTCTCTGCATTTGATTGCTTAATTAGCATTAATTAACTCATTTTAATCCTCATATTCTCCCAATCATGAAGAAGCTCTGGGTAATCCCAGAAACGGCCCAAGAATCTAACATATCCAGAATCTTTCTGTGCAAAGACCTTAGCAGGGGTAGGCAATTCCAGTTCCTGGGGGTGGTATCCTGCAGCCTTTAGATTCATCCTCAATCAAACAAACCTGAATCAAATAGTTGAATTAGATTCCTCTTAATAACCTAAGTACTTGATTCAGGTGTGTTGAACCAAAGGCACATCTAAAAGTTTTAGGATAGCGGGGCCTTAGGAACTGGTATTGCCCTCCCCTGCCTTAGAGTGTGGTCCTCTGTATAGATGCTGCTTTTACTGGTTCTCTTTATAGATTTCCAACACTTCCACAGTGAGATTAAAGCTGAAATTTCCATAATTTAACCTTCAAACGCAAAGTTTTATGAACTAAATTAGAAATAATTTTATTTCAAACTCACAATAAAAAAATGTCAGTTTTTCCTCTTTTATTCTCCCTTTTTTGCTTCAAAATAAGTTTGAGTCTGATAAACTGATTCTCTTTTTATGCTGAAAACAGTGAAATAATTGCAAAGATATGAAAGTTTTAAAGTAGCACATAAGACTATAGAAGAAAAAAATGTATTAGATTATAAACCAAACACTCTCAGAGGCTGTTCTGGTTTCTATCTCTGGTCCTTTTGGGGCGTGAACACTTAAGAGCCTTAATCCACGTTAATCTGAACCTAAAGTGTGTATTTCTGATGGTTTTTGAACCTTTTTTTGGGAGCAAGCAGCTGCTTCTGCTCAGGACTCACCCAGTTTGCAGAGCCAGGAGACCAGGACCCAGAGGGCCACGAAGTACGGGGCGGTTACATGGTGCCACTTCCACGTTACGATAGGTAGGGTCGTAATTGGTGCTCCGTGACCGTCTCCATGGCCGTCATCGTGGCTGTCAGTGCTTGTCTCGTTCCCAGTGCTGGTGTCTTCATGGTTTGGGCTCTCTGTGGTTTCGTGGGCTGGAGCCTCGTTGGCCAGACTGGAGGCGACCATCAGCAGGCAGAGGAACAGCGCTGCCCTCCAACGGGACCCCATGTTCTGCTGAATCACCTCTTTTATCTGAACTGTTCAGTCCTGGGATCTGAGCTCTAAGTCCTCCTGACCTTTGACTTTTCTCCTGACATCCAAGAGCTTCTCCTCTGAGACCATGTTGGCCCGCTTTCTGCTCTCCTCCCAGCCCAGGATTCAGTTTTCTACGGCAGCTGAAGCTCGGCCCATTCTGATGCTCCACCTTCTCCTCCCACTTTCTCACCTGGACCTTCTTGTTTGGCCACTTTTCCTCAAAGACTGATTTGATTCCATTGTTTCTTTCTTTGTGTACTGAGAACAAGAAACTGATGGGACCTGACAGACGGAAAGATATTTACATATTTACATTTTACTTTTAAAAAACTGCAATTCTTCACAAAACAGAAAAAAATACAACAGCTCTGAATGAAAAGTGGCCGAGCAAAGAAAATCTCAGATAATCTGCCTCCTTAAAAAATCAGCAGATTTACAAACAGCTCTGAGAACAAATTTAAATTCAAACCTCTTATTTCATTTCTTAACGTCCTTTTATCTATTTTACGTCCTTTTATCCAATTTAACTTTATTTATAAAGAACTTTAACATTGGACCAAAGTACAGTGAAACAACATAACACCATTAAACAGATAAAAAAAACCATACAAGCATAAAAGACTAAATTAAAATCTGAAAATCTATAATAAAATTAAAATAAAAGTAATTTAAAATAATGTGTCGCAGACTAAAATCGACACCTCCCACAGTTTAGAAAGCCGAGGCAAAGAGATGAGTTTTTAAGTGCGATTTAAAATCAGAGAACGAAGAAGACAATTTAATTTGGAATGGAAGGTGGTTCCTTGGCGGGAAAGATCGATGGCCCCTAAGCTTCGTTTAGTTTATGCCCCCTGAAGAAGTGAATGCATTTTGGAAATCACTTGGTAAACATGTTATATGAACTTATTATAGAAGTTTCAAAATATTCTGATAAACTAAATCAGCGAATTTTAATAATTCCTAGAATAATTGATTTGATGGATCTTGTATATATTTGTAGTTCTTGTAGTTCTTCCTGTTGCTGGTATTTGTCCATTACCATTATATGTCTCTCTACTATTGTTGATATTTGATAAACTTTTACTTTTTTGGGGAATTTATCATTGCTGGTATGCTAGAAAAACGCAAATAGAAAACAAATATACAATTTTATAAGATGATGTATTTATAATTACACTTTATATAGTAACTGTATTTTGCTTAATTTTAATTTAATTTAACTTAATACTTTTTTTGTTGCTTAATTTTAACTTAATTTAACTTAATACTTTTTTGCCCTGTAAGCTGCTGGTAACCTTAATTTCCGGAGGGAGTCTTCCCAAGGGATCAATAAAGTTCTGTCTAAGTCTAAGTCTATGTCTAACAATAAAACTGGAAATAACTTTATGGAGCTGATCTAAGGTTCTGGTCTCCCTACCTCAGCTCTTCCTGAGTGTTTGATGAAGATAAATCAATTTTCAGCCCCAAATGTCATAAGTTTCCTTAGATGTTTTTTGTTTTTGATTGTCGTTTTTGTATTGAATATGCAGGAAAACTTCAGGTTCTTTCCTGAGGTTTACAGGTCAGTGGATTCAGACGTCCTCATTACAAAACTTTCTGAGTCAGAAGCTCGCAAAATAAAAGGAACAACGAGAGAAAGAAAAAAAGGAAGGATGCAGAGGAAGTCAGCAGGAACAGGGGATAGAAAGATATGGAAGAAGGGGTAGAAGAAGGTGGATAAATGTAAGTGCGAAAGGGAGAGATATTCAAAGACAGAAAAAAACAGGAAGAAAAACAAAAGGTGAAGGTAAAAATTGAGAAGAAGATATGGATAAAGGTTTAAACAGATGCATATCTAGTTAAAATGTCTGGATCTGTTTCTGTTTCTTCTTCTTATGTCAGATGGCCCCATGTGGGCCTTTGCCCAGGGCCCCATATTTTTTAACACCACCTCTGGTTACTTTACCCACCAAAGAGCAACTTTAGTTATTCTCAGATCAGCTGAAAATACAATAAACAGATGGCTGTTTTTTTTTACTAACATCAAAGCATTTTCTGCTGTTAGGATTATTTCTATTAATCCATGTTGAAAATGTTTTATTCACATTTTATTTTAATCTGCAGGTAGAGATACGGCGAGTACGTCGCAAAATTTTATGCATGCTCAAAATTTCATCAGTTATCTGATGGTTGACATCCATTCAGTGTCAGTTCCTCATCAGTCGTGGCGTCTAGCTGATCCTAAACTTCTGCGTAACTTATCCAGAACTTCTCTCCAACATATCAGCGTATCTGACGTGTTCCAGACGAGCGCTGAACGCGTTTCTACCTTCCAGCTACTGTATAATGGCGTATTGGCAGCGTTTTGGTATAAAGGGGGTTCACAGGAGGAAACCGTCAGTTCTCCTCCAGACTTCATCCCCATCATAGGGTGAGCCAGAAGGTGAGTGATGGATCCTCCCTGCGTTCACGCCCACCACCAACACACTTCCTAGCAGACATGACGCTCAATCTGCTGACACCAGAAACCTTCTTTCTTTTTCTTTTTATATATTCTTTTTTTGGTGGGCTGTAAAAAGCAGCTAGGTTAATACCACAATCAAAGACATCTTTTTAAGCAGGCCGGGTGCATCACTGCCTTGTGCATCATGTCATGGGCATTACGCTGCCGTGCGTTATGATTAAGTTAGGCTGTCGTTGGACAGAAGTTCTGGACTCGTTATGGATACTCTATGTATAAGCCCATAATAGAAAATGACAGAAAGTTCAGCATATGCCAGCGTTTTAGGAGATTTTGGGACGTCAGCCATACGCTGGATAAATCAGCAAGGTGGGACAGGGGTGTAGATGTTTAAAGCTGATGCAGACTAAATTAGAAAGACCTGCAGCCCTGGGTGGATCTGACCGGGGAGGAATTCTTATTCCACTCCAGCATGTTGCCCCACTTTGTTTTGCTCGGTCACAAATAAATACATATAGCTAAAGTTAGAACACTGTGAGGTTTTCAGTGTGAAGACGGGTGTGAATACTTTCCCTAGCTATGTCTTGTGTGTAATTTCTACATGTGAAAGCAGAAAGGAATCGGGGACGATG